CTGTAGAAGCTAAGATGAAGAAAGAAAAAGAGAACAGAAGAGAGGGGGAAATGACCAATTAGAGGTTACACCAACCAGAGCGATCTGGCCGAAGCATCTCCTCTTACGCAAGAGGATTATTTACTAACAAGTTCCTTCTTGGAAGTAAACGAGTACATACAGTTTTTGGATTCGAGATTATGTAAATATACTTATGATGCCAATACAATGAAAATTTATGTTATGGATTATCCAAACAATTATTAGAGCTATATCAACTTTATGAGAACGAAAATAATGCGCTCCACAGACAGTCACTTACCATTTTGGATTGGTCCAGCTTAATTGCAATTCAGCCTCCTTGCAAACTCTTCTTTGCGCTATTTTCTTGCTAATTTTGCTTTTCTAGTATCATTTCTGCTTTTTTTAGATGCGTCCTAGTGAGGACGTACTCAGTGAATTTTATGGATTGGTGGAACTCGATGCAGAGAAACGTTATAAAGCAGTTAGCCAATTATTTTCAAAAGTGGTAAAGGTGCCCTGATGTTTAAAAAGTAATAATACGTTGGTAGCAGTGCTTTCAGAAATCTGATCCTTCTGTGCAAGAATACTGTATTGAGCGGCTTGTAACGGGATTGAGCTCAGCTCGAGCAGCTGCACGTTTTGGGTATGTTCAGATTTGAATTTGTCCTCTTCCATCATTTTCAATACGCATTGCTAATGATTCAGTAACGACCATAAAAACTAGTGATTGTTTTAGCGGAAAAATGGAAGTTCATACTAATGAGTTTACGTTTACATCGAACAAACCTTGAATTCAGTACCCTCAAAGTAAAAGAAAGCACGGTCGGGGAAACTGCCCCCTTCGCACATGGATAAGAATGTGCTAAAGAAAATCGGTTTATGCTATCACTTTTTGTAAACTAGCGGTTATCTTGCTTATTTGATATGATGCTTGCCCTCAATCTTTATATTTACAAAATTTAAGCATTTTCGCTTGCCGTGGAGCGAAGAAGTTGTTGAAGATTGACTTTGAACAAACTCATGCTACTTTTTTTAACTTTCGTGAAACTCTTCT